TTATTGTATTTTAAAAGTAAAATTAGTTATTCTTTAAGTTTTTATTTAACTAGAGTTTCATTAAATTTACTTCTAAAGTGTTAGGAACTTATAAAAATTAAAGAGTGCAAATGATTATATTATTGTAGAAAATGAAAGATTTTATTGTAGTGTTTTTTAAAAGATTAGAATTTAATATCAACTAAAAATTGAGTATTTTTATACTGAGTATATTTTTATTCATGAATCATATTAATATCATCTATCTATTTATATTATTTTGAGTGTTGTGGTTCAATAGATAAAACTAAGAATGAAAGAAGAGAATTTATCAAAAAATTATATATAGCAAAGAATAGTCAGATATTTTTAACCTATGAAAAGTACAAATGAATACAATATTACCAATACATATGATTATTTGACATATATTTTATCTTAATATATGTTTTGTCGACTAAATAGTATAGAGATGATAAATTGATGATATTTATTGCAAAAATGATTATATAAATGATATGATACAATATAATTTTTTATTTTCATTAATTAACAATAATATATGTATTACACAAAGAAAATATTTACATGTCTAATAAATGTATTCCAATATGTAATTTGAAAAGATAAATAAACACTTTTCATTAATTAAACTACTAATAATGGAATTTATAACATTTGTCCATTTGAATTATAAAGTACTAATTTTAACTTCATTTGTATTTTAGTATAATCAAAAACATAACCAAAACAATATGAACAATTGTTAATCATTACTCTATTCTCTTAATAAATAATAAAGTATAAATGGTAGTATAAAATCAAATATATTTACAATGGTTTAATTTCACAAGAAATAATAAAGGTCTTTATAAATTAATAAACATATTTATTTTCGTATGACTATTGGTTGAAAGATTAATAAAGAAAATAGAAATGTATATTATAAATACAAAAATATTTTACACAATAATACCATTAAAGAAATATTAAAAAAAGAAGAGAATTTGTCAAGAATAGATGAAGAGATAACCATTCCATTTGATTACATTTGATTAATTCCATATTTAGAATAACATCAAAAAGAATAAAAAAAAGTATTTGAAAAAGAAGAAAAATAAAATGAACTAAAAAAGAAAGAAATAATAGATCAATACTTTTTATTATATAAATGAGTGTTTCATATGAAGAAATTCTCAAACAAATTGAAGAAGTAGAAAGTGATATAGATAGAATTGAGTTTAGAATAACAGAATTAACAAAAGAAGTAACAGTTTGAAGAGTTATTTTAAAAAGAAGTAATAACAAGAAACAATGATTAAAAAAATAGAAATTACAAGGAACAACACAAGACAAAGGACTTAGTTCATCAATTCAAAATGAAATTATTACAACTGAAAGAAATAATTTTGAAATTCTTTGTAAAACTGTAGAACAAGTTAAACAATTAGAGTCAGTGACACAAACAACATTTAAATCTGCAACTGAAAACATTGAATTATCTCTTGAAAAAAATCATCAACAAACAACAGGAGAAATTAATACTATAAGAGATGATATTTCATTAACAGCAAGAGTTGTAGATTCATTAGTAGAATTACATGATGAAGTTTGGTTCTGAATGTTTTTTTAAAAAAAGAAAAGAAATAAAATACCAATTCAAATAGATATTAATAACTTAGATCGAATCTAATCTTTCATTAAGTCAAATTAGACAATTTTCTATGAAAAATTATTTACCTAAAATCTCTCAAATTGCTGAAATTATGCAACATAATACAATTTATATTTTATCAGAACTATGGATGTGTGGATTAATTCAATATGAAACACCAATTCTTTGTTTCTGGAATAATGATAAAACATTGGCAATTCATTTGTTTTCATCATATTGTCTTGTATATCAAAATAACCAAGAATTTAAATTTGATATTTCAAAAGGAATTCTCTCTCGTGTTGAACGGAATCCTCATTTAAAATGGAAAGATATTGATAATTATGTTCATAAAGAAACACATAATAAAGACGTATATACTCCAATGGGTAAATCTAAATTATCATTTATTGTAAGTGAGGATAATATTTTAATTAGATATGATAGTGGAGATATGATAGCAATTGACAGTCTTGGAGAATGTATTTTTATTGATGGTAAATTAATAACAATCTAATTTACTTGTTTATTTCATTCTAATTTCTTTTTATTATCATCTCTTTTCTAAGTAAAATTTTTTGTTCTTCTTTTATTTTTATATTTCGTTATATATAACATTAACGAATAATGTAAACTTAAAAATAGAAAAAAGAAGATTTCAATCTGAAAAAGTAATTTTCAGAAAGTTGAAGAATGAAAACAATAACAATTTCTGTTGGGCTTTGTGGAGATTCAGGTGTTGGGAAAACAGGAATTTTCAAACGATATATTACTGGACAATACACAGGAACAGAAAAAGCATCAGTGTCTTGTGATGTTAGTTGTAAAAAATTAAATATTGAAGGAGAAGCATATAACCTACAATTGTGGGATACTGCTGGTCAAGAAGTGTTTAGATCAATTACTGCATCATATTTTAGAAATAGACATGTTATGTGTTTTTGTTTTGATATCACTAAAAAGGCTTCATTCTCTTCAATCTCTGGATGGCTTAGAGAATTTCAACAAAACCAAAATCCTAGTTTTAGTACTAAACTTATTCTTGTTGGTTGTAAATCAGATTTAGAAGGAAATAGACAAATTACAACGACTGAAGCTGAACAATTTGCTCAAGAAAATAAAATGTCTTATTTTGAATGTTCAGCTAAAACGTTTGTACTTTTTTATATTTTGAATGATTTATTTTCCTTTATGAAACA